TGTGTGTGTGTGTGTGTGTGTGTGGTTATTTTTATTTTGTGTGTGTCAGAGGGGAATCTGTTTACAGCCACAGTGACTGACTTCCTGGCCATTGATGCAGTGATCTATCGTAGCCTTGGGGACAGTCCTGCTCTTCGCACCGTCAAGCATGACTCCAAGTGGTTCAGAGGTACCTGTATGTGTGTGTGTGTGTGTGTGTACTTGTACTTATATGTTTCTGAGGACCATTTTGAGTAAAGATCTTACAGGGGGAGGACAGTAAGATCAGGGGTTAGGGGCAAGGGAATGAATTATGCCAATTGGTGGTAAAAGTGTGGGGATTTATATGTGGTTGTGTTCTTTTGTATGCCTGTCAAACTGTGTTTTAACAAGTGTTTGTACATTACTGTTGTTTTCTGAAGAACGTCTCCTCGTCAGCGTCGTGTCTGTTGTTGTTGTTCGTCAGAGTCTGATGGGTTGAGTGAGCGTCCACAACACTTAGCAGCAAACAGGATCGATATGTGTCAGTAGCAGAGGGCTGAGTCAGCAGGCTGACAACTCTGTGTTCAGGTCACTGGACATGAAGCTGTCAAACCTTCTGCTCCTGAAAGAATCTGGACCGTAGACTGTATATAAAGATGCACAACATAACTGCTTACCAAAAGTGAAGCCAAAGCTTTTGGATTGCCACCTGCTGGCTGGCTGCAGTAAAAGTAATACATTCTGCTTCCTTGGATTGGCAATCTCAGAGCTGATCAGCTATTGTCTGACTACAAATTAGCCTCTGGGAGCTACTACAAATATTTTGAGGCTTCTGGTGTAAACAGTGGATATCAAGGCCCATGCTGCCTTTCGTTCACCGTACCAAACACAGATTACTGTCTGACGAGTTTGTTAGATCACAAGAGTTGAATGTTTCTCTGCACAAAACACAAACACTGATACTCTTTGTAGGTGTTTTAGGTCCAGGCAACATTTTGGCTAATCTCTATTTAAAGCTATCAGCAGATGGTTGCAGAGAAATTTAAGAGCAAATGCATTTTGGTCATGAATGTGTTTCTCTCCACAAAGATTGTTTACCTGCGAGAGAACAAAGCACAATGCTCATGCTCAAGTAGCAATGGAGGCTTCTTGAACCAAATCTCGAGCCTCGCTGACAGATTCTGCATATTCACTTGAAAAATCTGTTTACAGAGTTTAGTTGATAAGAAATTGACCAAACGAAAATGTCAGAGTACATGTCGAAGAAAGTTTTTCGTAAAGATGTCATTTTAGGTAGCTCTTATCAAACGTATGTATGTTCGAGTCTTTTTAAAAGAGGATGAAACATCATGATTGACATTTATTGGAGTGAGGAAATGGAGACTCGTCCATCTTTACATACAGTCTTTAGTCTGGACCATCCACATCAGGGTTGGTCTGCAGTCAGACCTGAGGATGACGATTAGAAGGTCACAAATACACAATAATAGACATACAGGTTGCAGCTGGTCCCAGGTGTATCAGCATAGCGTGAAACCCGTTTCTCAGAAACATCAGGGAGTCATAATGTGCCTATTGTTTGGTGTGAAATCCCCATTCAGCATGTAATGAAATTAAGCATGGCCTCTGCCACATCCTCTCTGCCCTCATGTTGCCTCAGTGTCATGGGAGTGAATGATGTGCCTACACACGGAGGCACTGTTTGCTAAATTCTCACGATCTATCTACAACATCAAACGTTCACTACCTACTCCCCTCTCTCACACTCTTTCTCTCTCTCACACTACAGAGCCCTATTTTGTCAGTGCTGTGGAGTGGGGACCTCACATCTACTTCTTCTTCAGAGAGATAGCCATGGAGTTCAATTACCTGGAGAAGGTATGGAAGCCATCTACTTTCTCCCTGTGAACTTTCCATATTCACACAAAAGGAGCCACTGGTCCTTTCAAAGCATCTTTTGAAAGCACTGTAGAGGCATATGTAAAAGTGTGCATCACTATTAAAGAAGATTCTGGTCGAATGTCTCTCTGCTGCTATCATATGAATGTCAATATCAACTCTTCCCACTGCTACACTGACCTTTCATCCGTGTATGTTTTTGTCTGCATATCTAATCCAACAAACCGCGTTCTGAGCAAACAACTCTTGTCTGTATTAACCTCAGAAAAGCCCTTTTTTTAACAGCGACTCTGTTTATTTCCTGGAGCTGGGTATACATATTAATGAAAAAAAAAATATCAGCAGCATCAGCAAACCCATCCTTATTATAAATGAGCAATTAACATCAATTGGGGGAGAGGAGCTCGCAGAAGGTAGAGTAAATGGACACCTAAAATGCATCACCATTGTGTGGATGATCGTGTTCAAAGAAACAATTTTGAAATGCACTGACATTTTCATGAATAATTGATAAAACATTTACCATAATAAAACAACGATCTGCCAAAACAGGGTTTCCGATACACAAATAGAATGCAAATGACTCTTCAGAGATGACATGGAGTTGAAAATGGCTTAATGTACCTATTTGAAGATGAAAGCTGAAGATTAGGAAATACTTTTGAACCCCCACACCTTATTACTGACATTGTATGTGAGCCACAGCAAGGCCATGCTTATCAATATATTGTAAATGCCATGTATATTCTTCACACTCATTTTCTGTGCCTATCTCAGGTGGTGGTGTCGCGTGTGGCCCGGGTGTGCAAACGGGACCAGGGCGGTTCTCAGCGAGTTCTGGAGAAGCAGTGGACGTCGTTCCTAAAGGCCCGTCTGAACTGTTCCGTCCCCGGGGATTCCCACTTCTACTTTAACCTGCTCCACTCCACTAGTCCCGTCATCAGGATGCACGGCAGGGACATCATCCTGGGCGTGTTCTCCACACCAGCTAACAGGTACAACACAAACATAAAACTGAAAAATGCAAAAAAGTGTGACAGATACTTAAGATTCAAGATTTCCAAAAGATTTCTTGTTGAATTTCACTGTCCTCTTAGATAAACTCTAAACTTTACGCTTTCATCAACACTATTCCGAAAAGGAAGCTAAAATATCCAGCGTAAAAATGCTGCCATCTTGGTGCAGATGATGTCATTTGGAGTCTGCAGAGTAATGATAGTGTGATGGAGCTGCAGTAGCGAGGTTTCACACTGTTTTTATAGCATTAAACAACTAGTTAGAACTTGGAGTTAGAATCAAACTTACTGGAAAAATGAACACTGGAACTTACATCATGCAGATGCAAACATCTTTCAAAATAATTTATCTGACGTGTATTTTGACATTTTGTTTGGTCCATGTCTCATCACCTACCATGGGGGAGGCAGGATTTATTACCTATACTACAGTCAGCCCCCAGGGGGTGATCAAGGCGCTTTGGCATCACTTTTGGGAAGCTATTTTAATCAATCTTTATATACAGTCTGGGATTTGAAGTGTTCATTGTATCTGCAGTATAATTGGTTGTATTTGCACAAACTTGCCGTTCAGCTGATACAATTTGAGGATTTATTTTTATTTAAATTGAATTATCTTTTTTTTTCGATTACTGATCCTCATATTACAACTACTACTTATTACTACTCCACAATCTTTGCACACAACCCCCAAGCACAAGCGGATCCTGATTAAGAATCACTGATGATCAATACCCAACCTTTCTTTCTTCAAATAAGAAGCTTTATCTGATGGTAAATATGTGTGTGCACGTGTGAGTGTGAGTGCAGCAGTGAAAATATTTCAATTCATATCCTGCTTCACAGAGAGAATGGGAATCACACTCAGAGCTTTTTTTTAAAGAAATACTCGTAGAGAGACATCTTGACATACTTCCCATGGAGACTGGGATAGACACCCGTGGCGAAGCTGTACTCACGGCTCACCTTGAAAATTTAGTGGACCACCATAGTTTGTTCCCTCACAGATGAAGTCAGAGAGAGCGAGGCCTCCTACGGGAAGGCGAAGAAAGAGGCTGTGTGGAGGTGCAGAGGTCAAGATTGTGGGGTGCAAACTAATTGAAGACACATGGGACGCTTTCATTGAGGACAAAGAGGTGATTTTCTGAGAGACAAGATTAAATTGAAAAAAGGTGAAAGGGAAGGAGGGGTGAGGGGAGGGGAGAGATGCTGCCTGGTAAATGGGGGATTATTGGAGACTGAGGGTATTTGTGGAGCCGAACACAATGCTACTTACAGACCAGAGAGACATTTGAACAACAGGGAATGTAAAAAATATATATTTATATGAGCTATACAATACAAAATCTATAGATATATTAAATAGATGAAAAAGAAAAGAAGAAATAGCAAACCTGTTGGATTCAGGTTGGGATCTTGGTTTCCAGCAGGAAAATGTAACCTGAGTCGCTCTCTATTCTTTACAACTGTGATGTCCACTGAACAGTTTCATCTCCCTTCCAGTCCGTAATTTTCTAAGCAAGACAGCAAGTGGTGTAGTCTGAACTCATCTTAAACTGGCTCTAAATGTCACAAGTGTGGGATAGTTCCTCTTGTAAAAAAACAAATAAACCCATGTTTTCCCATGTCCTTCATCTCGATGCAGAAATCTGCTTATCCTATTTTGTTATCAATTTATAGAAACATGCAATTTGAATACTGACTACAGTTTTTATTATGAGGTCCATTCCAGTTTGTGTATTTGAAGGAACTTCGTCCTTGTCTTCCAAGCTGCAATGTAAAGTAGCGTTATATTGAAGTCTAAGTGGCTCAAATCATAGAAAAGAACTCAGTATACTTTTCTGTGATGGCCCACTCATCTTACAGCATCGTAATGGCCCTGTTACTACTAAGTGTGTCTGGTAGAGCAAGCACATTATAGCAGACTACTTAAAACTGCCTGCTATTTGACTCTGGTGGAGAATCGATGCTGTCTCTCACTTAATTGCAGCCAACAATGACTACCACCTGTCATTTGTTCCACTACAATGCCATCCCTTTGTTATCACGATTAGAATAAAAGCTTTGTACCAGTTGCAGGACAGTGTCTCAAACCACTGAGGTTTACGACCGCCCTGTAAGAGACAGCAGAGAAGTAGGAGAAGGGAAGAGTGAGACAGTGAGCAAGTTGATGTGAAAGGATGGAAGACACGGAGGAGAGTGACGGAGACAGCAGACAGGAGGCAGAGAGACAAACGAGAAACTCAAGGACAAGGAAGTCAATAATGGACAACACATGCATCCCTCGCTCTCTGAGATCTAAAAGTGTTTCATCAGCTGCATCTTATCCCCGTGTTTGGAAAAGGCTATGCTGCGAGAGGGGGGCCATTGCCTGCAGAGACAGATGGGTGCCTCACACACATGCACGCACGCACACACACACACACACACACACATATACAGACACACACACTCCCGCTTTCATACTCAAACACACATTTACACAAACACACTTACAATGGTTCCCAGATAACAGCATTTACACTATGCCACAAAAGAGAACCAGCTGAAAACACACACACACACACACACACACACACACACACACACACACAAACACCCACCTGCTGCTACTGGGTCCTTTTTTAAATAACTCCCAGCTAAGACAGAGTGCAATGGAGGTTTAGATGGATGGATAAGGAGACGTGTGATGAAGCAAAATGAGCACAAAGAGAAAGAGAGAATGTGTGAGGTGAGCTGCAGAGCTCCCACTGGCCCCATACGGCCCCCTGTGCCACACCGGCTAAGTGCTCGCCAGACAAATTGCTTTGGCTGGCAGCGTGCAATGAAAACAGCGTGAAACAGGACCTGCGAGTGGAGGAATAGCTTTATTCTTTCCTGCCATTTGGCCCCATGCAGCAACTGTGGGACTGTGGTATGAGAACGACAGGTCGGAGTCAAGGTTTTACTGATGATCTCTGTCTGTGGGGTACGGTTCTCTGCAGTTACTCATCTCCCCCTGCGCCCACATGCTTCGGGGATAATTTTACAGCCACATACCACTGTCCTAGAGTTGCATCTGGGGCTCCTTTACCCGCTGTTTTCAGGGTTTGAAATAGCTCCCCCCAGTTGCCAGTTTCTTTATGCATCCACCTCTAAAGCCCCGGGCCCTTTCTCTCAATGAGGACTGAAAGACGAGCTTGGATTTTTCCATGAGCACCTTCTGCGCTCCTGATGTTCAAGAGATCAAGGAGGAACAGAGAAGAACAGTGTGAAGGAAAAAATATTACTCTATATCAACTCAAATAAGTTGGTAAATTTTGAAAGGATAGCAGCAGGATGTCCAATGGAAATCTTCCCATCATCCTGCTGGTATTAAAAACAAACAATTCCTGTCATTCAGGTATTGTTATGTCAGCTGAAAACATCTATGGCCGCTGCAATTGGCTGAACTGGGCTCATTAGGCTTAATGGAGTTGTGCAGGAATGCAAGGAAAACATCCCATGCAAAGCAAAGTAAATCTAGTGCATGATGAGAGCGGGGAGGCCATGTTTGTTTTTGATTATAAAGAATCCCATGTGACAGGGTCAGACAGCAGAATGTCCCTCTGGGAAAACAAGGGGGGGAGAATTAGGAGGACAAGGAGCAGGTGGGAAACAGGTTAGTGTGCCAGGAGGAGTGCAGCACAGGGGGGGAATCATGGATGTGTAAGCTATCCCCCCTGGGCCCACAAGTAGAGAAGGCAAGGGGATACGTGGAAAGGTAGCTACCTTTGCGACATAGAAATGAGTACTGGAAAGGAAAACCACTGGTAGCTGTCAGTAGAGCCGTGTGATACAGAGTTGTTGCAGAAGTTTCAATTTATTTTACATGTGCTAGGATAGTTAAATTATGGAGAAAAGAGAAAACCCAAGGGTACAAGGTCAAGAAAAAGCATGAAAATCTGGGTTACTTAGATTAAAAAAACAGATCAGGTTGGAATTTTTTGGAGAACAGATGAAAGTAAAAGTCGATGGAATAATATTAAAAATGAAAATAAAGTGTAGACGTTCATGGGGTGCAGAGGGTCTGGAATCAGGGGCCTAATTACACATGATAGTTTTTTTTAATACTGTTTTCATCACAGCAAAAACAAGATTTCTAAAAACTGTAAAACAAGCCAACAACTCTGTTTTTATTACAGGTTTGATGTAAACAAGTCAGATGTGTTAAAATAGGCTGGGAATGGGCTGTACATTGGTCCACTCTATCTGTTCTGTATGACTTCTATCATTAACTGTACATACAGGAGAGACCTGAAGAGATTATAGTTCAATGAAATTTATTGCAAACAGAAGAAAAGACTTTGCTGCTTCAACCCCAGTAAGAAGTAGAACACAATGAAATGGGTCTGGACACTTGTTCTGGTGATGAGGAGGGAGCACGAAGATGGGATGTCTCATGATTGGACGTTTAAAGGGAGATGACCTGGTATCCAGAGTGGAGGGGGTGCAGGGGCGGCAGCGGGTTACTTATTGATCGGAGACCTGATCAGCTGATTGTCAGGAGGGAGAGAGAACATTTTCAACTTTGACAACGTACAGCTGATTGGCTCGTGTGAAGTTGTGATTGGATGAAAAGGAGATAATGAGCTGGTGGAGCGTCGAGATAGCGAGTAACCTTCCTGAATGAAATTTCACTATAGCTTTGTTATAAGAATATTTACCTCTCTGATTCCACCAGTGCTTTGCATGAAAGATATAGTTTTTTATCGATATCACTGCTGCTAAGCTACTGCTCCTGCCGAAGAAAGAGTCTGGCATATTTAATTACCTGTAAAAATACAATGTGTTATTTTTACACCTCAGTTTTTCTACCTTAACAAGAATAAAACGTGTTGATTAGTGAGCTGCGGAGGTGCAAGTAGAGGCAGATTTCTTCACATTTGGAAAGTGCCAAAAGTTTTCCCTTTGTTTTCCTTTTTGAGGCAAAGCATCATATTTACCTCACAGATATAAGAGCGGGATCGATCTTCTCATTTAACTCTAGCAAATAAGTGCATTTTCCAAAATGTCAAACCCTGTCTATAAAATGCCAGTGGGACATTTATCTGCAGAACAAACAAAATAAATTTTGGGTCATTAATTCAATGCCCAGTGCAACGTTTCTTCTATTAAGTCAGTCAATCTGGTAGACAAACACAGAGGCCTTGAAAATAAAACATTGCAAATATGAAAAATAAAATAAAATATATAAATTAAGTATTGTAATGGTCCAATCCAAGACTGTAAAATACAAATTTAACATTTGACTTAAATATTTTAAAAGCAAATGTATATTCCTTGTGTATTTGATTCAACTCTCTCAAAAGGTCATTGTATACTTTATTTACAATGAGTGTGATATAAAGTTATTTCAAATATCTAGTTAAAGGCTTGAGTTGATTATTCTCAGACTTCCCCTCCTCCTCGTCTACTCCTTGGAGGCATCGTGTGTCCGTGAGGCCTGTGTTAATCCCAGCCGTCAGTGAGCTTGTTTAATGTTGAGGAGGTAGTTTAGACTCCGCTCTCTTTCAAACGGACAGTGCACGTATCTCGCCTGTCACTCAGCCTCAGTCAAGGAGAAAGAGTGAAGGAAGGACAAATTCCGATGGACAGAGAGAGGAACAAGAAAAATGTGAAAGTAAACAAAGGGAAGTGGGAGGGGGACTGAGGATGATTGAAAATGAGATTTACAAGAAATTGCAAGTAGACATAATTGCTTGAGAGAATACTACAGAGGGAGAGTTAGAATAATTTTAAAAAGAGGAGAAATAGCCAGAGGCCTTTTGGCTCACTTCTGTTAGACATGCAGCGCTACATGGGGGGCAAACCCAGTGACCTGAAGCAACAGAGAACAGGAGAGTCGGGGGGTGGGAAGAGGTAGCGCAAGGAAGCCAATCTGGCATCAACGCAGAGCTGGCAGACGTGTCACAACTAACATCTGGTGCCCGCCGTCTTGAGAGAGACGCTGTTGACGTCCAGTGATCCGCCTTCAGCTCCGCTGCACTGGCCAGGGTTTGAGTCACATCCCTGCCTATGAATGATAAGTACTGAGGGAGGCGGCGTGACCTGATCAAATGGCACATCAGGAGAGAACGGCGCCCCGCTGCTGCCGCAATGCTTCAGGCTATGCCTTCTCAAACAAACAAAGGCTTTTTGAAAGGGCGGTCAAGAGAAACACGCTCAGCTTGGTCCATAATGATGGGGGCACAGACCCTCAAATCACCAGTTGGCCATTTTTGATGAAGTAAAAAGAAACACAGGGTGTGTGTGGGCTTCATGTAGCAGCAGGCGGCAGGTGACTCAGCCTCTCAGGTGTTTTCATACGTATGTATATTGGAGGTATTAGCACTTAGTCCCCAGCTCTCACACCACATTCACCATTAGTCATTGATGAGGACACTTTGAGAGCAGAGAGTTGAGTCTTGGAGCAGGAAGCAAGGGATGTTTTTTTTTACTCATTCCTTATCTCATCCTGACACTGCTCTCTTTATTTCAATCTGTGCTTTGTCTCTGTAGCCACAACACAAAATATAACATTAGGATGAGGGAAGAGAGAGGAAGTGTCTAACTTCTTGTGAATGTGTCTCTAAAAAAACCCACTAACACCCACTAACATCTGGCTTTTGTCTGCAATGGGAATGGACACAATCGACTGATCAGCAGTTATGGAAACATGACACCTGGGTGAACTTATTTGGCTAGACAGCAAGTCAATCATCTTTTTTAAGTGGGTTTGCGGAAGAAAAAAACTGCAAATACCTGATAATTTTTTCAAAAAAGAGATTAAAAGCTGCTCTCAGACCTGCTCTGAAAATTATTATTTGAATTTTCCTGTAGGTGAGACCACAAATGTCTGAGTCACTTTCTGCTTCTGGAAATGTTTCTGCCTGCCTCATAGTAGAACATACAAGTGAGCACATGTGAGAATACAGCAGAAAATTTAACACAAAATTCACAGTGAGTGAGTGGGGGTGTTGGTGACATCTCTAACACGCAACTAACACAAAATTGAAAAAAAACTCATGCACATACATACAATGGATGATAAAGAGGAGCAGATTAAGACATCAACTTTGAAAGACGACATGATATGAGAGCTTTTGGTGATAAGGGCTGACTCCTGTCCTGAAGTACCGTCTTTATGTCATGTCTTGCCTCCCGCATGCTCTACCCAGGTGCCATCCCTCATCTGAATGTTCCGAACATTTTCCTGTTGTTGTAAACAGGTCTGAACCGGACAGTCTCCTGCTGTGTTCTTCATATGTGAAAGACAAAGTCTGAAAAATGTCCGGACACAATTTTTCCAGAGAATATGTCTGAAAAGGGACTAAATTGTTGGTTGTGACAGTGTTTATTTTGTTTTAGAGGATGTGTGTGGGCTGTGGACACTTGCTGGAGCAGATGTTCTGTTCCCCACTGCGGGCAAAGATCTTCCCCCCTCCTTGTGAGAGACAGAATATTCAGTGACTCATTTGCTATTTGGTTTTTATCGTCCAGAAACTCCAGCCAAGATTTTTTTTGTGGGTCTAATCTTGATATTGCATCTGCTGCATATCCATCCTTCCCCCACTGAGTTGACAGCATCCATCTTAGTCTGTCGTTCTCTCCGTCTTTATAACAATTTCCTTTGTTTTCAAACATTGATTGTCAAAAGTACGAGCAGCCAAAATCCAATTTGTCATCTTCACTGGGTGTCTGTCCCTTTCTCACACTCACACACACATTACGTTTTTTATTTTAACCTCTTTTCTTAGTCCATTTTTCAGAAAATGATTCTCCGCCTTATCTTTTCTTTTTCCAGTAATTCTTTTTTCTGTACTCCTGTGTGAAAGCAAAGCTACTTGACACAGGACTGAGTCATTTCATCTAAGTGTTTTATCAATCAAAACTCTATCTCTCTCCATCCACCCCTGTCTCTTTAGTATCCCGGGTTCAGCGGTGTGTGCCTTTGACATGGAGCAGCTGGCGTCGGTGTTCGATGGGAGGTTCAAGGAGCAGAAATCACCCGAGTCTATTTGGACCCCTGTTCCAGATGAAGTCATCCCGAAGCCCAGGTGCAGATGGCTGTAATCAATTTATGCACGTGTGTTCAGGTTGTCACGGGACAAATGTGGGAGTAAAACATTTTTATGAATAGATTGAGCCACAAATCTGCCTTATAAAGGGTGTTTTGTAGGGTTCATGTCTAAGGTTTAGATTTCATATGAAGAATGCAGGAAGATACTGTATCTAGTTTTACAGCCTAGTTATTTTTCACAAGGATACAGCACAGTCATCCATAACTTTCCAAATCAGATATGAGCTTTTGGCTTAGTCTCATTTCTCTAATGTTGAAAAAGAAGATCAGTCTGAATGTGAGTGTGACAGAGACAGTCTAGACTGCTTGATTATATAAATATATCTTCACTAAGGCCTAAAGTAGTCAGAAATGGGACTGCCAAATTGTGGGAATTGTCTGTGTACCATCTGCTAAACTTGTATGACAACGTCCTGTTCCCAGACCCGGTGGCTGTGCCGTTCAAGGATCCAGATTCAATTCGTCCAACTCTTTCCCAGATGACATGCTCAACTTCGTCAAGACCCACCCACTGATGGATGAAGCTGTGCCATCCCTGGGACAAAGACCCTGGATAGTCAGGACCATGGTCAGGTGAGATTGAAATCAGCCAAACACTCAAACACTTACTCTGTCTATCACATTTTGAGTTGATACACTGATTAGATTAGGCACTGAGTTGAACTAATACCTCCACCAACCAGTCATGCTGCTCCAAATTACACACAGCAAATTCACATTTCATCAAGATCCATGAAGTATACCCAGGAAAAATGCCAAAAAACACTAAAATATTGCAGTGTTAAAGAAAGTAAAAAAAAATCCAATGTGTTCAATTTTAATGTGTTCTGTTTTGGCCCATGTCCCATTCTTCTGCCAAGTTTCATATATATCTGTTCTCTCTTTTTCCTTGGAAAACAGTGAAAATATCAAAAATCTTTCAATGTTAAAGAAAGTGAAATAAAATGTAGTTGATTAACCCCCCGCAACAAAATATGGCGGGTTCTTCCCTTTTCATAGAAATAGTTTTTGTAGAATTTGAATTATCTTGCTTACAAACAAACAAACAGGGTTAAAAAAGACTGGAAATAAGTTATAACACATTTTGAAAGAATTGTAGTGTCACTAAAATTGTATTAATTTTCAAAGAAACTCTTAATGAACTGATAAAGTAATATATTCCTAATATTCCTGTATGATGTTTTGAAGTGTATGAGACTTGATTGCAAACACAGTGATTTCATATTTACTCAAACAAACACATGATCTGTCTCTTCATGTTGCTGAAGTTAAGGCTCCTGTTGAAGTAATCCTGGTTCTGTTGTAGCATGTGGTAGCAGTCAACCAGCTGTAGTCTCACATCAGTGCATGCATCCCTGGGGATTATGAGGTCTGGATGTATGTGGAATATTAATCACCCGGCACAACATGGCTTCAATTCTCGTTCCATTGACTCACACAGGACCGTGTGTAGCTCAGCAACACTCTGCTATTGTTCCAGGACGAGTCAGTTGACTTGACTGATATTATTAATGATTGAATATCTGCCATAATTAGTTTATTATGCAGATTTGATGAGCAGCTTTTCGCTGGGGAATTTATTTAATTTTGCAGTTACTCATAACAAATGTGCATATCATGATTTAAATTCACCCGAGTCAGTGTTTTTATACCCAAGCTAATCAGTTGTAATGCGCTTAAATCATAAACTCGCCTACAGGAAGTTCCTCACTATGTTTTTAGCTTTCATGGACTAAAAGTTCCAAATTAGTGTGATGTTAATGTGACAATCTGTCCTCTCTGTGCAGGTACCAGCTGAATAAGATAGTGTTGGATACAGAAGCAGGGCCGCACAGAAACCGAACCGTCCTGTTTCTCGGGTCAAGCAGAGGGACCATCCTCAAGTTCCTCATCATGCCCAACCAGGACAACACCATCACCAACAGCAATATCTTCCTGGAGGAGCTGGAGGGATTCAACCCTGATAAGTAAGATGTTAAAGCTAACTGAGGGTCAACATTTTTGGGAATGCTTGAATAAGAAGACTGATGTCCATGTCCCATTCACTAACATGGAGGGAGTGGGGTATACTGCAGCCAGCCACCAGAGGGTGATCAAGAAGATTTGGCTTCACTTTCGTACATCTTTTATTTCATTCAGCATCTGTGTTCTGTCTAAATATGAAGCTATCAGTAGAAGTCAGTTAGCTTAGGTTAGAACTAAAAACAGTGGTAAACAGTTAACCTGGCTCAATCCAAAGGTAACTAAATCACCTACTAGCTCCTCACCAGTTAACATGTGTTTGTTTTGTCTGTTTATAAAACAAATAGTCACATTGTAGCTGTACAGGGTGTCATGTGATATCCCTTGCCTGATGTGTTAAGGCTACTGCACAACTAATATTTTAGACCCGATTTGCCCCTTCCGAAGGGGTTTCTCAAAAGGAGGTCACTCTGTGCCGATTATCTGCCCAAATAATAAAATAAGGGGGGGGGGGGTTTACAAAATAATCTTAAAGCTACCAATTGAGTGGGAACTTCCCCGATCTCAAATCTCAGAAGATAATCGGCTCCAACAGAAACCTGTAATAGCGTTAGAGAGAAAGAGAGAGCAAGCTGACTGTGAAGTGTCGCCAACAGGCCTGTTACGACTAAACACAACAATACATTTCTTATAGGTTGAGTTTCTTAAGACAGAGCCAGGCTTGTGGTTTCCCTCCGTTTCTCACCTTTATGCTCAGCTATGTTAACTGGCTACTTAAACTATTATTTTGTGGAAACAAACATGTATATGTGTATGAAGTGATGTCTGGGATCAACGTATGCACAGTGGGGAAAGCTGAAAAGAAAAGAGTCCCAGTGAGAGAACAAAAAAACTCATAACATGACGTGCTTTTGTAAAATACTCATAACTGAGCCTTTGCTGAGATGATGCAACCCCATGATGAGAATACTAACAGGACAAACAGAAAGAATAGGATTAGAGTCTAATATTTATTATCAAATCTCAACATCTCCTAATGAGGTGAAGACACACTACAGGACGACATTGGATGGAAAACAACACAAAGTAATGAAGTGATGATAAAATCACATTCTCCTTAATCTAGACCAAATTACACTCAGAAAAAAGTGACCCTTTATCATCAGTCTGTAGCAGAATCATATTTAATATCTGGATCTTAACGAAAGATCAGAGCAGATTAAAATTCCTTTTTTGCTTTTAATCTTTGTTTCCATGCAGTGGAGAGCCGCAGGGCGTAGGAAAGGAGATTGTCGCACACATGCAGGCAGATTTAGCTGGTGATTTTCCGTCACCAAGGCTAATTAGAGGCATTTTAAAAGAAAGTACATGTTTCTGAACACTAGCTTTTTGCCATGGTAATTTTCCTCCCAAATATATATATGCAATTTCTTCTGCAATAACGGGGGGGAAAGAAATATTTCTTGAACCAACTGCCTGGAAACCTCCTTCCTGTGCTAGACTCCAATCAGTTCATACTGGTCCACTTCCTATTTAGTTATTCCTATCCAAAATATTTGCCAATTTGTGTCCCAGCATATTTGTTCTGCTTCAGACATGACATGATGAGGGATAGTAATGGCAAGTGAAATGAGGGGTGTGTGTGTGTGTTAAGTGCGCTGGTGTAGCCTGGAGCCAGTGTGTAAGGGATAATTTGATGTGCATGGCGAGCCCACCAGGAGGTCAGTGACAGTCCAGCTATCACAGCTTTCACCAAGCTAATCAGGAGACAGAGCTTGAGGCTACCCTTAACCTCACCTTACATACATGAGACAAAGAAAAGCCTTGTGTGCTGGGTGAAACCCTGGGGTGCAGAGAGGAAGCGCAACTGACACAGTCATCCTTTAAGAGGTCAGCACAGATAGAAATCACTGGTTTATGACTGTCTGCTGCCATAATGGACCAGGAAATGACCTGAAAGAGATGCAACATTAAAGCTGCTAATAGACATGCACTGATCATTTTCCTGAATTTTTTCCAGTAGAGTTGTATATGACAAATGTCTGAGTCTGTTCTTTTGGCCTTTTTTAGGAACTTTTCTCGCCAACCCCCTAGAAAAATGTTCAGAAATGTCATGGGTTAAATCATTTGCAACTACAGCAGGAAAATATCCGGAAGATTCACCACTATTGAGTGGACGTTTTGATGATGTTTCTAAAATGCGACAGACACTAGACTGAAAAACAAAAAAGACAATGAGATTCGAGGGCTTTTGTGATAAGAACTTTGTCTGTGTGCTGGGAACAAAAAAGGGATTTCTGCAGCTGATTTTATACGTCTACCCACACCCCTCACTTGAATGTTCTGGACTTTTCCCTGTTGTTGTGAACGCATCTGACCGGGACAATCTCCTGCTATGTTCTTCACATGAGAAACACAAACTCCAGAGTGTATGGCAGAAAACGGCATAATAGAACAGAGTTATCCCCCTCTACCTGATCATGGTCTTCTCTCTCTATTTTCTTTTCACAAGTCTTCCACCTTTTATTTGTCTTTGCCTTTTTTCAGCATTTCTTATCATTTTCCTCTATTTGCTCACTTTCTCCACATCTCTCTCCCTCTCCTTATTGGCTGTGAGGAATGACTCACAGCTCGGCCTTAGCAGAATGATAGATTCCTCTTAATGACTGCAGGCCCTGTCCCAATGTTATTACCATAAACCATCCAGATACAACTGATGCCTGAGTGTACATGGGCATAAAAAGGTATAAATTCGCTGCGCTCAGGCAGGTTGTTGCCGGCCACCGCAGCTTTAAGTGCCAATTAGCTGTGATTCAGCTCCTGGCTGCTGTTTTTGAGGACCAGCTGACCCCTCTGACCTCGACAATCAGCATAGTGCATATTTTGGTTGACACAGTAACATCCAGGAAACACGAACGGTCTTTTTGTACTTTCACTTTTATTATGTTTTTTATMMATAGAGCTGTTAATGTTTGGTTGTGCTTCACATTGAGCCATAAGGAAGGAAGGATTTTTTTTTCTCTCTTCATGCTCAGACTGAGGTCACAAATTTAATGTCCAGGCTCGGTCTGGTAATTGAAATGGCCTAATGTTTTTTTTTGTTTTTGTGTTGATGCCTGTGTCTTTGTGTGTGTTGCAGGTGTGCTGAAGACTCTCCTCAGGCCCGGCAGCTGTTGTCATTGACTCTGGACCGGGCGAGCCACAGTCTCCTCCTTGCCTTCCCCTCCTGTGTGGTCAGAGTGCCGGTGGCGCGATGCCAGCTCTACTCCCGGTGCATGAAGTAAGTCCGCACCAAATACTGAGCAAGCAGAAGTGCAGCAGGGCAGCATAATGGGAAACCTGGTGACCATTCAGGAACTATCTTACTTTCCAAAGTGTCCTTGAGGAAGATTCAGTGAAGACCTTCCAGCTCCAGACTTGCTGCTCACAGCTGACTTTAATTTTCTTGTAATGATAATAATGATAATAGCAACCGTCACCGTGCCCTTGAGCAAGGTGATAATCTGCTAACTGCTGTATAACTGCTGTATAGCCCTGAAATGACTCAAAACACAATAAAAAGCGCCAGTAAATTGGAGGAAAATCTAATAAAAGCTGTTAGTATGATACACCACCATTAAAAGTAATGCTGTATTATTGCATCAGCAAGCAGTTAAAATTTTATTATCGACGCACTGTAATTTTACCACATAA